CTGGCGATCCCCCTCAGCAGCTCGCTGCGCTCGTTGAGCCGCAGCCTTGGCCGATAAGCCAAGCTCCACCTCTCATGCCTGGCCCGAGGGGAAAGATCAGTCAACTGGGCAGACAACTCATCTACACGAGCGCAAAGATCCCCCCGCCTCCGATAAGCATGCCCGATAACACCCAAAGATCTCCATGCCAACTGAAACGGCCTGATCATGAGAAGGATACCCAGCAAATCACAAGGAAGAACGAAATAGAAGGAAACTTTGCGATCAAAGAAAAACTATGTCAAATGCTAACTTACCCGATAAAGCTGAGCGACCATTCTCCTATGAAGATCGTCAATCCCATGAGACTTCAAGGCCTGTTGATTGAGAGGGAAGAAAACGCCATTTCCCCACTATACGGGATTGAAGTTAAACAGCTTGCCACTCATGGTGGAATCCTCCCAACCATCTGTAACACCCCTGATTTTCAACATATTTTAAAACAATTAAAGCTTACGAAATAAGAATAAGTCTATCATTAATACCCAAATAAGCGGAAGCTAAGCATAATAGTTTAGGGGTGCTATGCCACATCTAAGCTAGAGAACCTAGATGCACAGGCTACCAACTAACTAATCATAATCCATAAATATCATTCGAATACAAAATGGCTCACAGGCCGTCAAACTGAAGCTAACTACTACCTAAGCTAGGAACCACAACTCCATTTAGCGCACTCACGAGCCAACTAATCTGTACCTGAAAAACATGCGGTGTAACAACCGTTAGTGAATAATGCAAAGCAACCCACTCCCACGCGTTGAGTACAATATATATAGATATGAGAAAACCATTTTGAGACTTGGGAATACATAAATATAGTCCTAAACAACTCTAGCTTTCAAATCAGGAAAAGGGCTCACGACACACCATTAACATTGACACGACACGACAACATTACAATACAAGCATGCAAACCATGACCACAAGACAAGACAACAATGACAACCAACAATAAGACCACCAGACACGACAACAATAACAGACAACAATAAGACCACAAGAGACGTCAACAACAACAGACAACAATATGACTGCAAGACACGTCCATGTTACAACCTCATACCAAGTTCCAATCTTTACTCCCCTCCATCCTTATATCAGTTCCAAAACTGTACCTCTAGGCCACCCTGTACACCACTAGCCTTATCCCTCTGGAGCAATGATCCCCGCCTAACTAACCGCCAAACTGTTTCGCCGATCAAAGCACACTCAGTGCCAAAGGTACCGCAGCACCATATCAAAAGACAAATGCACCGCATCGCAATCAACAAAAGCACACTCAGTGCATTAAACCACCAATCTATTTTTATACCGCCAATCTCATATATTTCACCATCATGGATAACAACACAACAATCAATACTCAACAATAACTTCATCAAGGGGTAATCAAAGGGAGGGCACAACATATGTACCGACTCTTATCAACAAGTGACACCAATACAACCACATGACTCATGGGGAACAACCTAGACATTACTTACTTTGACAACAAGACAACCACAAGGCTTATATGGGAGGTTACAATTCATACTTTGAACTAACGGGATACAAATTTAGACCACATGCATTAATCAAGACTCTCAAATCCCATTACGGTGCTCAAGACATCAATCTAGACTTACGAACATCAAGGGAGATACTGGAGGCCAACGGAGCACTGCACCGGCCGTACCAGCGGGCGGTACGACAGGTGGACAACCACCCGCCAGATTGCCCGCCGGCGGCCTCCACTGTTCCAGCGAGTAGTCGTCCACCCGCCAGCCGCCCGCTGGAACGGCGTCCCTTTTCCGGCAGGTGAACAGGTGGGGGTTCATCCACCCACCGACTACTCGCTGGAACAAGTATTCTTGGCATTTTTTCCATCCCATGAATTCATCAATTTGACCCAAAATCATGTCCAAATATATCACATTACCCATCAACAATAATAGGGACTTGAACACCATGAATAAACCAATGAATACCACAATTGAACCCTAAACACAAGCTCTAAACATGCCAAGACATAAGAATAAACATATAATCGTTCAAGAACATCAAGAACCTCAAGAATATTAAGAAACCATCATATAAACCCTAAAGACAAGCTCTATCAATGCATAATCACAAGATCACACATACAATCATTCAAAGAAGCCAATAAATCAAAAGATAGCAAGGAAAATAGGTTTCGTATGACATGGGTTACCTTTTAGCTTAATTAAACTTCTCACAATTTCCTAAGATCTTTCCTCAAGGTCTCCTTCCAATCGATCCTTCCTAAGCTTGGTGATGGAGAATTCTTTGGCTTGATTCTTGGGAGGGATTTTCGTGTGGGGTGAGGGAGGTATGGGTAATAGGGCTCTAATGCTTTCTAATTCCCTTTAAATATGTTAGGATTCCCAATTAGAATCTGAAAAGGTAAGAGGTTTAGGATTCCTAATACGAATCTGAAAAGGTAAGAGGACCCTCCTTATTTTATCTAAAAGGCTAACGGACTTTATTTTAGACAAAAGTCCACGGTCCATCTTGGGTCATATCAATAAATTAAGGGATAAATGGTTTGGGCTAAGTAGTATTTGTTGGGCATTTAAAATCATAGTTTATAAAATAATATAACCAAAGCCTGTAGTGACATATTTAGGTATATATTATATATATATTTTTAGTAAAATATTTAATTATAAGTAAATAGTTCTATTTGAAAAATATTTATATTTAATATAAATATTTAGGAAAATGCGGGGTGTTACACCGTCCACAGTCAGGGTCAGAGATTGCAGCTCCGACTCCAATGGCGCCTACTAACCCTGTTCGGACCCCTGTCGAGCCCTCTTCCGCAAAACCCATGGACGAACCTGGCCCCCATCTGTCGGCGCTACCACATCCTCGGAAGAACCTGAATCGAGCCCCGCGCCGACATCACTAGCTAAGGGAGGAGGCAACAAATCAGAAGATCCCCCCCCCCCACCCACCCCCCCCCCCCCGTGCAAGTCTCTTACCCTTACCCTTAGAAGTTGCTGCTGAAGAGCCCGAGAAAACTAGAGGCTGAGCAGTTCGTGATCGAGTCTAACGACGAAACTGCTCACGAAGAAGCTGCACACGAGAGGACATCATAGTATACGGACGACGCGCGGATGAAGTACGGAGAGTATCAGCCTCTGGATCCGATCCCACACTAGAGCTACCTGAAAAATAGAGAAACAGTCAGCAAGACAGGTGACAATTTGTACAATAGCGAATAAAAAAAATGTTCTTGAAAATATATATACTAAGTAAGGTAGGAGTTGTCTACGTCTATTCCATCGCGAAGCACTTGCAGGGGCAGCAGTCGCACACACCGGTCGGTTGCGAAGAGATGGATACGAACCCATACGACATGGAGGCGAAAAAATCAGGTAATTACGTAGAACTGATCATCACTCTTGTTGAATAAGATCTGCGTGCTACTGTACACAGTGTGTTTACTGCATATAATGTTGAATTGTTTTTTTTTTTTTTGGAAGAAAATCGTGGAAATTTGATGTTGTGCGTACTGTGCGCATAGTTGAATGAAAAGGCTGTTATTAACTCTGGTCTTAGATAATGCATGCATCGTGAGTATAAGATTCAGAATAGGGTGATTTTTATGGTTTCTTATTTTGGGACAGTATGAGTCTTATTGGAGAATACAATTTGTTATAATAATAATAGTGCACAAATAAAATATCTCCAGTGCACAAAGGTGCATAGATGGTGTTGTGTGTGTGCAACTACGATAAATTGTGTGCACGTGTGGTTTTCTAATTTTTTTTTGTTTTTTTTTATTGTCATTATAGGAATGGGATGTGTCTGGTCTGACGTCGGTTCATAGATACATGCGAGGAGCAATGTGGATGAGGAGTACAGGAACGTGTCAGGGACATATCCCCCAAGTGAAGAAAATTACTTCATATGTTGGGCAACGATTTGAATCAGTAGAACAAGGAATTGAATTTTTACCAGGTATATGCTACCGTTGTTGGGTTTGATGTCAGAAATAGCATAATGAGGAAAACTAGAGGTGGCGAAGTGGGGATTAAGTGCATGGTATGCTCACGCGAAGGTCTTAATCCAAGTACAAAGGAGAAGAACATCCACAACGATATAAGGAACAACACAAAAACCACGAGAAGAATACGGCTGTCAAATAGGTTAGGTTGTAAGGCCTGTATGATGATGTCCGGGAGCAATTTACATTAAAGCACCTACAATTGCAAAGAACAAAGGTGGTGAGAAGAGATTGAAAAGCAACAGAGAAAAAGTAGCCAAGAAGAAGAAAAAAGGGGACATGCCATACATGTGACCGCAAGGGCCATGACAACTGTAATTGTCTAGAAAAAGTAGTAGTCGATTCGTATAATCTTGTTTTCATTATTCAGAAACCATATGTTTTTTAATGCGTTGCATGAGACCAAAACTATTTTTGTTTTACCTTGTTGTGATGTTTGACAATTTAATACATTCAGATCAGTTGGAGTGTGTGCATTTAGTAATTAAACAAAGGAAGTTTTGCCCCATGTTGCATAGCAGTAATGGTAATTACTAGAGTGAAGCCATGTATGACGGCATATACATACTAGAAGAAAAACTAGAGATGCATGTAGTGAAACATGGCCTGGTGAACAAAGGGACAATAGAGAAGTAGGTCTGTGCATGCCAGGATTTAATTGTGTGCATTCGTGGGTTTAAGTGTGTGCCAGCCTTGTTTTTGGTAGCGTAATTCTGTTACGGTAACCGTATTACTCGTACTGTGAGTTACGGAGTGCACAGAGGCATACTAATAAACGCACACATGTGCACAGTATCATTTTCGTGTGTGCACGATGCACAAAATTCCCCGCTACTAACACACACCATATCAAAGCCGCGTAGGTAGATCTAAATATAGCAGGTAGAAACTAGTCACTATTACAAAAGTGTACATTCCTAAGCTGTCAATTGAGTAGAACAACAACTTAAAAAGAAACCAAAAAGTTGTTTTAAAAAACCCATCGTTGACTGATAAAAAATCATAATATGCACTCCATAAAGATCATAATACCCTCGGGAACATAGTCACAAACGATACATAGTGTCAAAAATCTCAAAAAAAAATTTGAAAACTAGTCCTCGTCTACCCATCAAAATTGGAAAGCAACCAGCACACAAGGTGGGGAGGGCACTCATTCACCCGAAACTCCAACAACGAGCTAAACCCCACACCCCAAATGTCATCCCTCTGCTAGGCTGTGAGGTCCTTAAGCACATCAACCAATGCGGCAGTCGGCATCCTTGTCTTCGCCCAAGGAAACCTCGCGTCCTCCGCAACAGTAAGCTCATAATAAGGGGCATCCCACAACGGGTGTTCCCGCACCATAGCAAGGAAGGGCAACGGTGGTGAAACGAAGTCATCATCACTAACACAACTCTGTGAGGCACCAGGTTCATGCTATTCAACCTGAGACCTCTTATCTGCAACAACCACATAAACACAAAAATTCATCAACATCTCCCACAATTCTAAAATAGATCAACAGACAAATACGTAATGGTACATTAACAAACTGGAATGGTCAGACCCCAACAACATCACACACAGACTAAAAAGCTAAACTAGACATGCCGTGCACACACCCCACCACACTTAGCATCCAAACTGTATACATCAAAACACACAAGTCTCTGACATGCACACACCACACCACACCAACGCACACAATAATCAGAAAGATCCGGCTACAGTGCATAAGAACAACACAATACTGGCACACAAAAACACATACAAGCAAACACTGTTTGTAACAAATCTGATAATGCCAATCACACAACAAAACTATAATATACACACCAACCATACCCTTAACACATCAACTATACCAACTCCAAAATCAACAACATAAAAAAAACAAAACACTGCCAGAACTACCAGAACACAACAATCTTCTTGACAAATCAATAAACTAGAAACAGAGTTTCCCCTCAAATGCTACACTTAATGAGAACTATCAAAAGCACTTAAAAACGTAATCTATTTCCATAAGAACATCCAAAGAACAATAACTAAGAAACATATTCACTCAGAAATTAGATTTTTATCCAAGATTAGGCCACCATGAATGAATTTCTAACATTCAACATCAAAGAAAATCAACAATGAGTATATGATTCATCACATTACTATTCTGCATATCTATCTCTAATCACTTGGCAAAGCAATACAAATTTTTATTTTCATTATATAGTTGTGAATGAGCAGACTATACCAAAACCACCACGAGATAGGAAAATTAATTACTTATTAACCATAATACAAAAAAAAATAAAGAATCACATAGCTAATATACATAAATAGGTGAGAATATTTGACGATAATATAGGCATGTAACAACATTACAGTTGTTAATTTTCAAAAACCCAGATCTTGATCAAGGATTACATTATATAATAACCCAAAATTTCAGAAAATACACCCAGAGCACATACCATTACAGCACACCCGATATCCATGCCCATCCTATTGTGCCCGACACAAAAAATTGAGACAAAATCCCTCAATCCCAACCCCCAAACAAAAAAATATAAACCCTAATCTGCCCAAAACCCCAAAATTGGAACAAACCCATAAGCCCACGAACCCTATTATGCCTGTCACCCCCAAAAATAAGACAAAACCCGACCACCTCTCCCTCCAACGCTGAGCTCAACAACCGGAAAGCAATTAACCAACACAATGCACCCACCCAAGAGAAAAAGAAACGTGACTACGAAAAAAAAAATTACAACAAGGGAAAACATACCTCGGCCGACAATTGGACCCGGAGGTCCTCGTCTTTTGCCCCGTTCGGCGTCCCCAGCGACCACCATCTACGTGGAAGGAGAGTAGCTTCTACAACTCCAAAGTTGTGCGGTTGAAGAGAGAAGAATGAGCGTGCGTAGCGGATGGAAGCCCACCATCGAGTGATTAAGGAAGAGTGAGAGAATATTGTGTAAAAATCCACAATTGCCCCCTTACCAATATAAAAACAAAACACGCTAGAACTAATACCATATATTAAATCCAACAATTAGAACAAATCAAGACCGTAGAATGGAAAAATAAACACTCCACATTTGTCCTCAAGTTTGTATTTTAAGACCTGTTTTTGTTTGAATATAATCCAATATGTATATATACATATATATATATATATATATATATATATATATATAATATTCATCCGAAAAAAAAGAAAAAGAAATGGCCGGCGTTGTTGCGGCTGGCCAAACTGGCCAGTCGCAAAAGAAAGCCTGGTCGGTCCTACCCAACTTTAACAAAAAAGATCAATCCACCTCATCTTAGAAAATCAAATCCGGGCCATCGAAATAAAAAAACGAACGCACAAGATTAGTCCTCACGTCCTCACCTAAGAATGAGTCCTCATTTGATCCTTTATATATATATATATATATATATATATATATATATATATATATATGGTGGAGGTTCAAGTGAGGTCAGGGTATTAGGTGAGGATTGTGGTCAAGTTGTGACCATCAGATCAAGGGAATTAAAGGTCCAGATTGCACAAGGAGGTTATTAAACCGTGTGGACTTTTGGTAAGTAAGAGTATTAATAATTAATAGAACGGGTAAAAGAGTAAAAAATTTAATCGATTGTGCAATTAATATAGGGAAAAAGCGAAAATTCGGGGATTAACGTGTAGGGTTTAACCGGTGAAAGATCTGGGAGGCTGTCCGTATTGCACGAATCCGAGAGCTCAAAGGACATCCTGTTGAAGCGCTGCGCGATAGTACAGAGCCGAGAAAAATGTCGGACGGAACTGCGAGAAGGAGTAAAATGCGTGCATCTCTGGAGGCATCAACAAAACTCGGTAAGCGAAGAGTTGTTTATTGTTTTGGTTTTTTTACGAAAACTTGCATTCCAGTTTGGAACGAATTTTTGTGATTTTGCATGTTCAAATGGTCTGTGTCTGTGCAAATCTAAGTGTTTTTGGGTAATGAAAAAATGGCCGATGGTGGGTGTGGATTAGAGCGACTGACTACGACTATCGGTGGTGGGTGAGGGCGGCGATTACATTGCGGGAACAAGGGGATTTGTACTGAATGGTGCTGTGCGAACCAATTGTTTTTTATGTTTTATCTTTGGGATAATTACAGAGGGCGAAGATGTGGGTTGAGTAACAATATTAGATGGGACTAGGTTGGAGGGCCGCCATTGGTAAGGACTGGAAATATAGACTGGGAACAAGGGTGAACGGGGGATACGAAGTGGAAACATGGTTAAGTGTTGTCAACAAGCTTTTACCAATTATGGTTTAAATGGTTTTTTTTAACGGTGGGTTAAGTGTAGTGTAGTGCAGCCACCATACTCGGTGTAGAAGAGTCAGACCGCACAAATATGTAGAGGATTAGACAAAATAAAAAGGTCCACACACTGCAAAATAATAATAATAATAATAATAATAATGGAGACAGAAAGTATAGATTTTGATTTTAACTAAGATTCCAAAAAGAGTGTGGTTAAACTTCAATTGGTATCCATATAAATGTGATGATATGAATAAAAACAACAGGTAGGGACCACTAATAGCACAACAGAATTAAATATTGGCATGAAAAGAGATAGATTGGAATAAGTGTTGGTGGAAAATGTAGTTGCGCCATAGAAAACTGTGGATCAGGACTATTTAGTGTAGTATTATAATAAGCAGTTGAATTAAATAATGAAAGACTGAGTATAATCTGTGTGCAAACATAATGTTAGAATGGAACCAACTTTAAGAATGAACAAGGAGTCCTAACATTTTGCAGGGAAGAAAGCGAAGAGCACAAACAAGCAGGGAACAGTTGCAAGAAACGTGGATCCCGACAATGACTTTGTTAGCCCACCGGTCCAAGTACGGAGGCCACAAATGCAACAAAGTCATGGAAGTAGTGAGTACGAGTTGCTCCCTGAAGAGGAGAAAAGGTTCCCAACTTTCAACACACGTGCAAGTGCTCGTTATCTGGTGGATCCAATAAAGAAATTTTGTACCTTGCAACGAAATGCAGTACGGGAAATCGGATTCGGAGGCTTGCTACAGTTACATGTGGAGGACACGCCCCTGCGAATGGGAAATTGGTTGTTGAAGAACTTCGATGCAAGCACAAAGAGAGTAAACTTAGGACAGGGACGGATGTTAGAAATAAGAGAGGAAGATGTGGAAAGAGTACTAGGATTCCCACGAGGAAATAGGGTGATTCAAAAAAGAAGGAGGAATGCACAATGTGTAGAGCTAGACACATGGAGAGCAAAGTTCAACAAGGATAACCACACAATTACACCATACATGATGGAGTAGAGTTAATTAAACAAAAGGACGGCGGTGAGTTGTTTAGGAGGCATTTTGCAGTATTGGTGAGTAGCGTACTGGTATGCATACAACAGAATGGGTATGCTAATCAGGACATCCTTCATGAACTCAAAGATGTGAGCAGGATTAAAGATTTAGATTGGTGCAAGTATGTAGTTGACGAGCTGGTTGAATGCCACGGAAAGTGGGCTACAAAAAAACAAAAGGTGTTTGGAGGGCCAATACTATTTATAACGGTAACCAGCAAAGTTTTAGTGATTAAACATTTAAAGTATTATACAACACTCTGAAAACGTAGTCCACTACAGTAATTCACGTATTTTAATAAGCACACCCTTTGTATGTTTTGGCAGATGCTGTATGTAGATACGGTTGTGAACCCCACACGCTACGTGGAGCGAGGGAGGCCCGCGTTCAAAGGATGGACATCAAAGATGTTGAATGATCGGGAATTTGCAGAGATTAAAAAGGGAGGATTTGGATTAGGGAACATTGAGCTGGCATTGGAAACAGAGGCGGTAATGAATGAGGTGAGCACGAATGGGTTCTTGGAATTATTTGAAATATGAGAATGCACATTTTATTCTTGCATTTAAAAGTAATGAGTTCTTCTTGCACAATTAGGAGAAGGGGGAATGCACAATGAAGTTGTATAAAGTGGGGGAAAAGGGTAGTGGTTGCACACTAGGCACATGGGGCAGTGCACATAAATACAGGTCGTAAACTAACCTATTGGTGACTGGTTGCACAAAATGAAAGGGCAAATTGCACAGGTTAGAATATGGGGCAACTTAAAAAAAGGAATTAGGTGCACACAATGTCAAAGTATTTTGCTTGCACACTTACAAGAAGTGGCAGTGCACAATTTATTAATACAAAAGTAGGGGGGAAAGAAACTCGTTGCACACTAGGCACATGGGGCAGTGCACATAACATAGTTCAAAACCTAACCTCTTGGTGACTGGTTGCACAAAGTGAAAGGTCAAATTGCATAGGTTAGAATATGGGAAAACTTAAAAAAGGAATTACTTGCACACAATGTCCAAGTATTCTGCTTGCACACTTACAAGAAGTGGTAGTGCACAATTAATTAATTCAAAAGTAGGGGAAAAAGAAACTCGTTGCACACCAGGCATTTGGGGTAGTGCACAGAATGTAGTTGGAAACATGAGTTGTTAGACACTAGTTGCACACAGTGACATGGCAATTTGCACATTTTAGAATATGGAAAAACTGACATAAGGAACTAGCTGAACAGGAGACATTGTAAAATGCGCCAACGCAAATTAATAGTACGAAAGTCAAATAATAAGTACGTGAATGCACAATGACTCGTACTGAAACTGCATGTTTTTAAAATGATACTGGAAAATAATATTTGTACGTGGTGATACTAGGATGGAGGCAATGGTTCACAACATGAACTTATGGAAGAAAATCAAGAAGATGAAGGAGATGATCTGGTCAAGGTAAAATTTCAGACGCCTAACTTCATAAGAATAATGCAATACAAAATGATAAATACTGCATGGACTTGCACATACAACAGTTATTACATAGCAGTTATGAAATGTAGATTGTGATAAATCACAATACACTGTATTTCAGGCAATGGAGGACAGGTTTGAAAAAGGGGCGCAACAAGTAATACAAAACGTCAAAGACCTAACTACACTTGCCGACGACGCAGGCGAATGCACGATACACCATACCACATTTGAGAGGCTATTGGACGCCGGCAGAATGTTTCTAAGAATTGGGCAGCGATATGTAGCAGTTAAGGCAAGGTGCACTACTATTCACAACCCAAACCATGCTGAAAATGCAGAAGAGTCATTGAGGACCGCATCAGAGAGGATGGAAGTCGATGAGGTAGAGGGGGGTATGGCAGAAAACGATACCCAAGCTGGCATGCCGTCATTCAGTTTGGGGTTGACACGGGAGCAGAACGAGATAAACAAGAAAACTGATGTGAATGGGGAAAGAGATGGTGTAGGCGAGCTTGGGTATCACAGAAAACGATACCCAAGCTGGCATGCCGTCATTCAGTTTAGGGTTGACACAGGAGCAGAACGAGATAAACAAGGAAACTGATGCGAATGGGGAAAGAGATGGTGCAGGCGAGGTTGAGGGCAACGAAGGCGACCGGGCGAGAAACCAGGAAGAAGAATCATTCCACACACCAGCTGAGGTAACAAGTACAAAAGAATAGACAATAACATCATTATTTAGTGAAGAATTGAAAAATAAAATTTGAAAATACATTCTGCAGCAACTGCTCAACCCATTGGGAGTGAACGAAGGAGAGCAAAGAGTTGAATTGCAAGGTGCACCAATGAAAATGCCAAGAACCGAAGGCAATACGTCCCAGTTACCACGTAACACTGGTACGGCCGACGAGGATATTTGTGTGGCCCGAAGAGAACTCACAAACTGGTACTCACCTACACCAAAGGACATGAGGCAGTGGTTGATAGAGTCTGTGGACACTGATGTGTAAGAAAGACTAAACGCAAAAGCATTAGAAGATCTTGGTTCATGAATTAAATTATAATTGAAAAGCTTTGTTAATGACAAGGAACGAGGATGTGTTCTACTTCAAGGGACAGCGAGCATTTAGGTCGGACATGATGACACTGGACAAGGACAAAGAGGTGAATGAGACAGTAATAGACACATGGGAATGCGTGTTAAATGACAAAGAGCGCAAAAAACCAGACCACCATCCGCATAGATTCTTTGGGTCAACAAAAATTACGGTAAATAAATTGAAAAGAAAGGACGTTTTGAAATGCACGAATAGTATTTAATATTACAGTTGATTTAATATTAATATGTATGCATGTGCAGATGGAAACAGTGGTGGGGTACACAGAGACACGAGCACAGCGCCTAGAGTCATTTAAAAGGAAAATGAGAGACGAGCTAGCGTTCAGCCCATACAGGTCGTGGCCGGAAATTGACTTGGTAAGTTAGAATACGACAAACATGGTGAATATGTGTTAAATTTGTTTCCGCCTACTTTACCAAAATACTTGCTAAGCATTTGAGCTAAATGTGCAATGCATTTTCTATTCCCAATACTCGACAAGTCTCACTACTATATCATCTCCGTGGATGTGAGGGGAGGGAAAATGCAAATAATTGACAGTTCATCAGCTGGGAAAAAAGAACAAGTATATGGCAAAATCCCTGCAGATTTGGTAAGCACCACGCATTATATGTTTGTAAAATTAATTGGGTTATAATTCGAAAAAAAAAAAGATAAAGTAGTTGAACAATAATGTGATTTAAAAAAGAATGCATGAGTGATGGTAAAAAGAGTAATGGTAGGTGGGCATATAGAGTAGTATATACTTTGAAGATGTTATGATATGAGAGTACACCAACGGACTATCGTACTGAGCATTGGTATTTATACCCGTTATGCATTTGAAATACTATTCAATGTGCAATGAAGTGTCTGCTTTGCATGTATAAAAATATGTAAGAGTTATGATACAGTTTTATATAATGAATGATGGTGCCCGGATATGAGATACTAACCGAATGTGTTATGTACGCAAAAAGACATGCTTGGGTGCTTCATAAACGACAACAAGGACTATAAACGGGCAGCTGAAATACTACACATGGAACCAAAAAGAATGCTAATGCCATGGAGGGATGCCAAAGAAAGTCCAGATAGTGGTGTGTATGCAATGAGGCACATGGAGTGCTTCATAGGGGAGCAAGCTAGGAATTGGGAATGTGGACTACGCAAAGGAGACAAGTCCACAATAGAAACATTCAGAATGAGGTACATGAAGGAGATCCTGCTCAGCGAGTGTAATGAGCAGCACGGCAAAAACATTCAAAGCTCACCTATATTCGACCAGGGAGAATTCACGCAAAAGGTGTAGCGTACTTGTTGAGTGGAAAATATGAGAAAGAATGCAATTGGAGAAAGTGGCTTGATATGAGATTGGGAATTAGTTTTTGATGCCTAAAAGACACACGAATAAGGTAGATAACGACTGGTACTAGACCATTGAAATTGGCAAGGAAGAATTATTTTGTTTGCAAATGTGCATTAACTTATTTTTGGTCTTAAAAGTGTAGTTATACTGGAATTGCACGCGATTCCCAACATTAGGTTCACAAACACGCACCGGGCTACTGACTAAGGCGTAAAAGAACCCAAAATGCGTGAATATGCAATAGTTTTGAAACGTGAAATGGATTTTCATAATTCAGCATTCGTGCAACGACTCCGTACTTGAATGTGCAAACAGTAGATACCCCAACAGATGGAATGTGCAAAGATGAAGGTTATAAAAATGAAATTTATTTATTAGTTAGAATTCATGCAACGACTCAATATTCGAAAGTGCAAACAGTAGTAACACACAAAGCTGGAATGTGCAAAGATGAAGAATATAGAAATGCTATTTATTCATAAATCAGGAATCGTGCAACGACCCCGTATTTGAACGTGCAACCAGTAGTAAACCCCAAAGCTGGATGTGCAACGATGAAGGTTGTAGAAATGCAATATATTCATTAACCAGGAATCGTGTAACGACTCCGTACTTGAATGTGCAACCAGTAGTAACCCCCGATGGAATGTGCATGAGTTCAAGAAAAGTTGAAGTGATGTGCAACGCAAGAAGAGCATGTGTAATATTGCTCAAAATACCAGAAACCATGTGCAAAGACACGAAACAACACTGTGCAATTGGGGAATGGTTAAAAAAAGAGGGGAAACAAAATAAAACAATACCAAAGGCATATCATTATTTAAAGAAGTAACGAAGCGACAATAATAGACACAGCGCATTGAGAAATTGACAAAATCTATGTAAAAAACGCATGTCATAAAATTGTTCCACATATTTGAAAACAAACCCAATAAACAAAACAAAACAAACTCATTATTTTAAAACCAACAGAAAATGCAGAATAAGAACAAGTCATTGGAGAAGTAAAAACCATAGCAATGTGTTGAAGCTTAAATAAAATTCAAAGACCAGTACGACCCCCGCCCTCAAATGTTTACGTTCCGCATCGGGCATGTACGACTATTATGGCCATACTTTTCACAAGTTTGGCATTGTTGTTGACGACGTCCAGCCTTTTCAACAGCTAATTCCCTTGTACTTTTGAAACGTTTGCCACCACCCTTGTTAATGGAGATAGGAAGAGGACGTATATGAACTTGACCATCGGGCGAAGCACCGCAAAACGCCTCAAAAAGTTGCTTCTTAGAAGAAGAAGAGGGATCGCTGGGACCATTCTCAGCCAATAAATTAGCGTTGAAATCTTTCAAAGATGCAGTCAGCTTCATAACATGATCAACACTCCGTGACGCGATGGTCATGCACGAAAAGAATTCTGCCCAAGCTTCACCAATAGCGACATCTACATCCACCGACCCCCGACGTTGAACCCCCAACAACTGCCGCACACAAGCACCCCTAGTCCAACGTGAAACAACATACCGAGAAGGGATAGAAACAACCCTACGGTCCTTGAAAACCCAGAAAATATGACGACAAAGTAACCCAACCCGTGTAAACATGTTACACGTGCACTCCACAACAATATTACCAGAGTCAAAAATCATCGTGTGTACCAACTCATCACCATCTTGCACCTCATAACGGGTTACCACCCCTTCAACATTTGAACGAACAGAACGACACGAAAAAGATCCCGCAATAACCTCGGCTTGAACATCATAAAAAACATTGACAGTATACACTGCAGCCGCATGCTTCTCAATCAACAACGGAGTCTCGGAGAAAAGAAAATGGCCCTCACATTCGGCATTCAGTTTGGCCTGCTTCGCACGTTGAGCATCAATAGCCGCTTCAAAATTATTGAACATCTCAGACAAACTAGCATGTTGGTTTGTGCAACTACCAAACACACTATTCGCAGCTTCGGACCTGGATGTCGTGCGAAGCAGCCCACCCATGAAAAGATCATTAAAAAACGCAGGAATCCAATACGATCTCAGATCATACATCAGACGAAACCACCGGTGATCACAAAGGCTATACTTTTTCATTACGTCCTGCCAACCCTGCTCAGACTCCTCCACGGACAACGTCTCATTCCAAACAACATCATTCAAAGCACGTCGAAACTCCTCGTCTTTAGATAGAACATTACCAACCTTCTCACCAACCTTTGACATTATATGCCACATACAAAACCTGTGCCGCATAGTACCAAACACCTGTGGGACTGCAATCCGCATCGAAGGATCTTGGTCAGTGATAGTGCAACTAGGCACACAACCCATTGCAGATTTAAATTGTTGGAGAAGCCACACATAAGAATTCACATCTTCACGAGAAATCAAACCAATTGCAAACGTGATGCCTCTCTTGTGATTATCAACACCAATAAATGGAACCAATACCATACCATACCATACCTGCGAGACATAACACCAAACCAAAAAACGAATAGAACCATGGGCGTTAGCACACTGCATGCACAAATAAAAACAGACCAAACTGCACAAACAAACAATTTAAAAATAAACAAACTACTGGGAATTTTTTAGAAAAAACGTGGCTTACCTATTAGTACCATAAATCGCATCAAACGATACCACATCGCCAAAACCTAAATAATTTTCCTTCGCAATAAGGTCAGCCCAAAACACCCTCCGTAACTGATCCTCAGAATCCAAATCATATTTAAAGAAATAGTCTGGGCAATCGTCTACCTTCTTAGCATATTTTTTCACAAAAATATGAGCATCAGAAGTGCCAATATACGCCATTAAGTCACGCTTCAAGTTTTTAAAGTCCACACATGTCGCACTAACATTGGAATATGACCCAGCAAACTCCCTAGCCAAGCGAAATGTCCTATTAGGCCCATCGTTGGCCCTAGCACACTTAAGCACAAAAATTTGGTGTTGAACATCCATGGAACGATTAACCTGCAGGAACGGCCTAGCCACATCCGAGCAAAGCAATGATTATGTCGCTGCTCAATGAAATGAACCACAAAAACCCCATCGTCAACCATCTTCAACAACATCCTAGCTTTGCAACCCACTCTATTCGAAACACGCCGGCGCTTTGGAGCCACTTTTGGTTGATCCAACACACCATTCACAACACCAGGTCCATGCCCTCCTTGCTTGAATCCCTCACGCGAACAAACCAACAAGTTTTTTACAACCACACCCTCCCTATTCTTACGCACTGAACTACAATGTACGTCAAAACCAACAAGAGACCTATACTGGTGATAAAAAACAATACCGTGAGCAAGAGAAGGAAAAAGCTGCCCCTCAAAAGGCCTAACCACCTCATCACACGAAGGAGTCCAGAACTTAGTTCCATCGGGAGACACGTCCATAACACAACCTTGAATCGATCCCGAACGTACTGCACAAACATCAACCAAAAACACACACATAAACAACCAACATGCTCCACATAAAAATATTAAAAAAAAAACGTAACATATTGGTTGCACACTTCAAATGACAACATATGCACACTACGAAGTGACCACCCCAGCCAGAAACCTTCGAACAAATACGAAAAAAACAAATAAAACACACAGGAAATAAACCACGAAAAAAGACCGATAACATAACTTAAGGGCTAAAAAAACGGAATACAAAAATGAAAACCGAAACAAAACACCCAATGAATAGGATTGCGCCAAAAAAATATACAATGCAAAGAACATGTACCAGACAATGCACAAACCTACAATTAGAATAGCATAAGAGAACAGAACACACAAACAGCACATACAACTCATGTTGTTCAACCAACAAGGAAACCCGCATAAAATAGCAATACAAAATACAGACGAACACCAAAAGTCAATGGAAATAACGAAAAAATAAAATGAGAATTACAACAACCAAATAATATATATTTCATAACCCATAAACCACAACTACGAACGGGAACAAAAAGCCCCATCTCTACGTCAATGACTAATCCAATGACCAAATACCACGATTAAAGTGTGTAAATTAAAATCCCATCAACAACGCCAATACACCACACCGCCACCCCATATCTTACACATTAACAACTAATCATGCACAAACCAAATAACACCTACTGCTCAATAAATATATAGACGAAACAATTTAAAACCCTAACCTGGACAATCCATAGGCCTTTGCACAGAGAATGCCGCAAAAAAAGAACAAGGAAAATTGCACACTCTGGAACAACAAACACAAAAACCACAGAAAACTACAACAAATATAAAGAGGCACGCTGCATCATAATTTAAATGAACAATATCTTAATTTACCATATACAATACACCTAAAATCAAGAAAATCGTCCAAAAATCAAACCCCAAAAAATAAAAGGAAAAAAAAAAAAAACAAAGACTATACAGCCCTTATCACAATCACGCGGTAAATATGAAATAAACAAAAAACTAAAAATAGCCGAAAAAATATGAACCATAGATCAACTCAAAATCAAAGGCCAGATTCTGTCCACAGACCACATGTAGGAACATGACCTCATATGATCCTCTCTCTCTCTCTCTCTCTCTCTCTCTCTCTCTCTATATATATATATATATATATATATATATATATATATATATATATATATATATATATATATAAACACATACATTTTTAATTCTTTATTGATAAGCATAATTTGTGTGTATATACTTTTAAGAAAATATTCATTATTAAAAATGTGATATAATTTAAAAAGTAAATTATTAATTAGATTACTTTCAAAAAAAAAAAATTATTAATTAGATTGCCTAATATAAATGTCATATTAATTGATTCCATGCTACTATAATTCATACATTTGAAGACTTTTTAAAGCTGAAATAACTATTAATTGCCTTAATAATATAATTAAGATAATTCTTAGTCACATCAATAGTACTAAAAGTATTACATTGATTTTTTTAAATAAGATATAATATTATCAAACCGAAATAATTAAAAATAATGTGTCCATAGTACAAAAGATTTTATAATTGACTTAATAATTAACTATTAATTTTTATTGCCTAATACAAATTGTCAATTATTAAACATTATTTATGGTAATTACTGTATGTTATGTAATACTAAAATTATTAGGTAGGATTTTTATGATTAAGGTATAATATTATTAAATCAAAATTATTAAAATAATGTGTCAATAGCACAAAATAAATTATACTTGC